CTCCAAATTAAAACTTTTAATGATATTAAACTTTTGTAGGTTTGAGTCCATGTGTTCCTAATTGTAACAAGAAGCACTTAGTGTTGCTTCTTTAATTATGTCAGTCAAAATGTTGTCTATTTTAAGCATAGTTATTCTAAATCTTGTCATTCTCAGTCTGGGTCCTTCTCTGGAGCGTTTGTAATCAAAGCCCCCAAAATGACTCTAACATGTACCTTTTTTCAGTTGAGTTAGCCTTTTAGATATTTGCTTTTGGTGGCTTTTGTATTTTCCTTGTAAAAACCTTTAACTGTTGTCTGTTGACATTCTGCAACATTTTTAAGTCATCAGGAATTCATCCATAGTCCACATAGAACTAAAAATGGATGCTGGGTAAGCCTGCTTTTTCTAAACCTCTTTTATTGCTTATAATTTGGCGAAATATGTCTTAATTGGCACTGATTCCTACCTGACCCTCCCGATGCTTCTCCTCCAATGTGGAAAAGATCTGGGAAAAGCTATTCCTATAACAAAGGAGTTTCATTAACCTGCTTGTCATTAGACAAGCAGGAAAATCTGTCACAATCCAGATGGAGTCACCTGTGCCAGACCTCATAAAAGTTATAAAAGCCAAGAGTTTTAAAGAAGTGATCTTACACAGAGCTACTAGACATCCAAGTCCTTGCAGGCATCTCTGACCAAAGGCAGATTTATATTTTTGGCCAAAGCCTTCTATTTAAGTAAAGACAAATTATATTTGCTGGCTCCAAACTTACCTTTTTTTAGTAGTCCATGCTCATAGAGTTATTTTCCCCTACTCTAATTGGGACTATTCTGACTTTTGCTTTACCTCTATTTTACTTTTTAAAGGTGTTTCTAATTTTAGACTTAAATAACTAGTACTTTTGGCCAGTCTTAACCCCCTTCCTGTTCGTAGTCACTGGCCTGTTCTTTCTTCTTGCTTTATTAATCTCTTCCAAAGATTCCTTATGACAGGATCATTGCCATCTCTCCTGACTCATCCCAGGAACAAGTTCAAGCTGTTTTGCTCCTACAACTGCTATGCTCTGGGACTAGACTGACCCACTCAGCAAGAAGTGGCAACGGGAACACTGTCACTCCTCTCCTATTTAACCATAGAGTCAGTAATGTTGGAGCAAGAGTATGTTTATCTAAACACCAGGCAGCCACCTAATGGCTCACCAGCTGGCCCACCCTAGTCTGCTATTTCTTACATCACCTTACATTGCCTTCTATTTCCCCACAGTAACTTCCTGTAGTAATTTTTCTTTTCTCTGAAGTGACACAGCCACATGATGCAGTCAATTGCCCCCGAGCCAAAAGAGTCAATCCCCTTCTTAACAAGCCTGCATTAACAATGAACTCCCACATACCTGCCCCAGAAAAACAGCCCCTATAACCCTATAAAATCCCAAGCCTATAAGAGGCAGTACTCTGGTTTTTCTTTCTGACCAGAGTCCTCCTCAGGTTTATCCCAAAATAAACCTGCCTCTACTGTTGAACCAAGCCTCCCATTTCTGTCTTCTTTTCCAGAAACAGTTTTCCCAACATACCTTCCTGTCCACAGGAGACGTTCTTAAAGCAAACTCCATTTTAATGTTTGTTAATGGGATTATTTCCATTTACTTAAAAACATGTTTTTCTTTTTAAATTTTTATTAGAATATATTCATTGTTCAGGGTGGATTCATTGTGACAATTCTGAATAGGTATATTGGTAGATCACCTCCACCATCTTTCCCCTTTTCCTCCCTGTTCCTGCCCACTTAAAGCAATTGCAAGAAGTTTCATTGTTCTACTTCTTATATGCATATGAAGTCCATCAACCATATTCCCTCACCTTAATTTTCTTCATTCCCCTCCCTCTCCCACCAGTATCCCTGCACACACACACTGTGCCCATTTTACAGTCCTGTCTTTCATTTTTAATTCCAAAGTCAATGTTCACTAGGGGTTTCTTGATGTATCCCCACTGTGAGTCTACTTTACTTTGCTCGGTTCAACTCCCTCCATTTCTCTCCCTTATCCCTTCCCTTCCACTTCCCATTATTTAGCAGCTTTCACTGCATAGCCTTATATCTTCTACCTTCACAAATGTTGTGTATTTCGATATGCTGATGCTCTATTCTCTTTTCCTTTATCTCTGCCCCTGAGTTCCATAGAGTAGTTCCACTATTAAAAACATGTTCTACATCTGAGTTTGTATATGATCATGTTTGCTTTTGTGTATACGTTTATCATTTGGATCTATCTTCCCAGTATGAGAGAAAACATGCTGTCTTTGTCTTTCTGAACTGGCTTACTTCATTTAATGTGATGTCCTTCAATTGCATCCAAGAAATATTTTTCTTAAGAACAAAATTATGTCATAGAAAAAATTTGAAATTATAAAGAAATATAGAAAATAAATATTCCCTATATTTCTAACACTCAGGGAAAACCACTGTGTTTACTTTAGTAGTCTTTCTCTTTCTCAGCAAATAGAAGCATAAAATATTTTTTACATATTTAATATTAAATATGTTTTGCACCTTAAAGATTATTCCTTTTAAGTCCTTTCCCCTTACCCCAAAGTAGCCACTTCAAAGGAAACATATGGATCATTTTACAGTTTTTGGTAAGCATTATCAAACTGCTTCCAAAGGTTAAACTAAACCAATCCACACTATTGCTAGTAATCTTTCTGGTTATGTTTTCCAATATTTTCCTGTAGGAATCTATTTGAATTTAACTTCAGTTGTATATTCATGTTGGAAATCTAATCAAAATTATGAAATTTGAGAACAAGGTCATAAAGGATTATTTCATCATTAATATTGTAAATATTTTGAATTATTCAATTCTTACTGGAGCATCTAATATTTCAATGGTCCTTAAAATAATATCTTTTAAAGAATAATGTTACTGCAGAGGGTAAAGGAAAGTAAATATGGTTGATACATTTTCTATACAAGTATGAATACAGAACATTAAAACCTGTTGAAGTCATTTTAAAAAGAGGGAGGGGGAGATTAATGGAGAGGATGAACTAAACCATGATACATTGTACACATATGCAAATGTCATAATGAAATCCCCTATACAACTATTATATACAATAAAAACTTTAAAAAAATGTCATTGTACCTCTACAATTGTGTGAAATAAGCAAGTAAAACATTCCCCTTTTTGGTGGATGATACTGAAATTGTACTAGAAAATCAACATAAAACACAGCAAACTGATAGATATTTCAGCACGTATTACTGTAATTATCTAAGATGAGCATAGCTTACAGACACATTTTGAAAACTAGCCAAAAGTTTGGCTACAGGAAAAAATAGAGTTCTATACATGTAATAAGCTTCCATACTACCCACATTTCCTCTATCATTATCTTTATGATATCACATCATAATTACTTACTTTATTTTATTATTGTACAAGTAGATTCTGAATTCAACAAGGGCGAGTTTCATTCTAAATTGGCTCATCCTTTAACTCTAAATCCACCACAGTAGTAGGCAATTACAATAGCTTGTTTAATGAATTTTTAAAAGGTTCCTCAAAAATATGTGTGTTATGTAGAAACTGACATGCTATGAATAAATGTTGCCTTATGCCAATATTAAGTGTGTTCTGACATAGTGTTTACATTTATAAACACCATTTTAATATTTAATTTATCTACTGTGTTTACTGTGAACCAGGCACCGTGTTAGGTCATTTTTATGTACTGACTTAATTTCTAGTTAGTTTTAACTCAATTTCTAATTAATTCTAAAATAGTTAGCCAGTAGGTGGCAGAAATGAAGCTGAGGTTATCTGGCTCTGGCTCTTACCAGCTACCCTCTCCACTTACACAGAACACAAATCACAAGGCATTGTGTTCCAGCATGGAAGGAGTAAGTTGCTGTTATTAATGATACAATATCCAGGTTAGGAGGCTACCGGTCTCATTTTACAGCAGTGAGAACGGAGTAGCCTAAAGGTTAAGAAACACATGTGTTATTTTTCATTAGGAGCTAATTTTAACCCACATTTCTTTTGTATATGCCCTGGTGGTGACAACAGTTTAAAGATACCAAAGATATTATACATGTCCAATATTCAGGAAAGGAGACTACTGCCCGGTAAACTTATAAAACACTTTTGAAAGTAATCAGAAATTTTCCTGGTTGAGCAAGACTGTGAAGCTTATGTAGTACCTCATTTCTACTTAGTGTATTATTTTATGTAAATAATTATAAAGTATATAAGTTTCACTATACAAAGGATTTCTTTTTAAAGTCCCAGTATTCTGTTTTCTGATTTTTTCTTTCTTTTGGTGATACTGGGGTTTGAACTCAAGGCCTTGCACTTACTAGACAAGTGATTAACCACTTGAGGCACATCCTCAGCCCTTTTTAGCTTTAGTTTGTTTTACAGAAAGAATCTGTCATTTGTGTGTGGGGTTGTCCTCTGACCACAGTTGACCTATCTTCACTGCCCACATAGCTGGGATTGTAAGCATGTGCCACAACATCTGGTTCTGTGTTCTGCTTTCTAACATGACAAAGTTTAATGTATTTTGAATGAACACTTCTTAGAAACCATTGTGTTGGTATATTTTTATTTTTACATGTGTAAAAGCAGCTTATAATTGTACTGAATACAAAATACAAACACATATATTGCACATAGACAATACTTGACATGACATATTGCACATGACAGAACTGATAAGGAAAAGCATATGCTTAATAGCAGATGAGGCTTAATATTCCAGCATTTACAATACAAAATACTTCCTTATACAGATTTGCCACATCACATATTGCACGTTTTCAATATTTTTATCTGATTTACAAATATTCCTCTTATTCCTTGCTTTTATTTCTTCTTTGAAAACATTATATGGAAGATTTTAAAGACAGATATATAACATTGGAAAAGACCTGTCTACATTGAAGCAGAGAAAGGACAAAAATGACAAAATAACTTGTCAAATTTCTCTAAATGGAAATATTATGAAGCTTAGTTTCAAAACATTTGTCTACTTAAAATGCCTTCAGAGTTTAAGAAATCCACTTAAACTGAATATCCATGTTACTTGTCAAAATTCCCTTTATTTACATTCACTTTTGCCTACCATCATTTCATTCCTTCCACTAGTGAAAACACATGAAGGGCACTCACTGATGGTAGTGTTCAACAATAAATAACAACTCTAAGTTTAGTTGTTCTATTTCTGGATTTAAAAATTATATAAAGTGCTTCTGAAAGAGGTTATAGTCACTCTTCTTATTCTTGGACGTGATCCGTCAGTCAATGAGTTTTCATCTCGTTGCAGAAAGAGAACCCACAATGCAGATTTTCCTGGAATTTCTGTCCCACAGTCATGTTTAGAAGAGGATTTCCAAGATAACACAGAGTTTGTTTATGAACTCTTTATGGAAAATGTTAACCACAGAGCAGCATCCATTGATACAGCTTTCCTTATAAATACATGTCCTCATTATCTGGAGGGTTTGCTACAGATCCAAGGTAAATTCTTCTCACATGCTGCATTACCAACATCCATGCTGTTCAGAAATGCACACTTCTCAGACCCTGTGAGGTTGAACCTGTCAAATCACGAAGATACTTGGAATTATATTTAGTGCATCATTTCCTTTGAGAATAAACTCTGTAGTGACCTCTGCTATTTTTGTTTGGTTGTTTCCTTAGTAGGAAATATGAGACACAAATCTGCCAGTCAAATAATCAAAATCTGACCTATAGAGATAGTGGAGAAGATATGGACAGAATAGTATGTGGAGGAAGGATATAGAGCTAAGGGCATCTTGCTCCACTCATTTGGTTGGCATGTCACCAGATGGGTGATTCTTGATCCTTTTTAGTTCATAGATTCCTTCAAGAAACACTTCAGAATTGACAGGCATCTAACAGTCACACACACGTATTGAATACAGTTTTAGGGTGCCTCTGACTGACCCTTGCAGCTTCTCTGTAGGTATGAGGCCATAGGACACATCCCTTTACTAGAAATCCAAATTTTAATCTTGAAATTGAATTAGTAATTATCATGAAGCTATTAGCAGAGTGAAAAAATCAACTCTGAATTTTCACAGGGCAAAGAACAATGCCAATTTTATAAAATGTTCTTCAAAATTTAAATGTAATTGAACTATAGGTAATAACAATAATATCAGTGTCTAGTTATGGGGCAAATTTTCTTTCTCTCTTTCCTTCTTCTCTCTCTCTTCCTTTCTTTCATTTTTTTAGTGGGACTGGGGTTTGAACTCAGGGATTCACACTTGCAAAGTAGGTGCTCTACCACTTGAGTCATTCCTCCACTTAGCGAGTTTTCTTTAGGTTTGTAGAAATTCATAATTAGGCCTTGAAAATATTGTTCTTTATCACTGTGGGATGAAAATGGGGAAAGTGAAAGAGGAAATTCTTTTCCAACACCTTCCTCATCAATTATTCTTGCAGAATTTCCAAAATCTATTACTCACATTAGAGTTTGCTGGGAAAAAAAACTATTATAAGCAGTTATTAAATGAATTCTAAGTGGATGAAGAAAAAAAGACTATAATAAAGACTATATCTTTGAAGAATTCAAAAGAGTATAAGCATATAAAAGAAATTGTTAGAGCTGTGCTTATTAAGAGCTTAACCTTCATATACAACAGAGCTTTGAAGGAAGAAAAGAGGAAAAACTTAAAAAATAAAAGCAAAAGAAGGAAAGCGAAATCGTTTTCCTGAGCTCCCCTGCTCCTGGGGGGAGGTTTACTTTGGAGTAAACCCTTTGAGACTCACCAGTTATCAAATTTTTTGCCATTTGACCATTTCCATGTCTGACCAACTTCATTTTTCAGCCCAATCCAGTGTTCAGTTCCACCAGCATATCGTTTTAGAAAGACCTTAAAGCACAATGAAGATGTTATGTTAAAAACTCTAAGTAAGTATATATATAATAAACCTGTTTCTTACACATTGCTGTTTGAAGTATTACAGCTAATGATTATTTGTTAGTTCTGTATAGGATCAAATCATCTGAATTTCTGATCTTTGAAATTAAGCAATTATATCACATTTAAAAGACTAAATTGGGCTGGCCATAGTGACTCACGTCTGTAACCTATTTACTTGCTAGGTAGAGATTGAAAGGATCTCTGTTCAAAGCCAGCCCAGAAAAGGAGTTAGTGAGACCCTATCTCAATCAATAACCCAGTAATCATGTGCACCTGTCATCCCAGTCATGTGGGAAGCCATGGTAGGATTGTGGTCTGAGGCTGGCCCAGGGCAAAACCATGAGACCCTATGTGAAAAATAACAAAAGCAAGAAAGGGCTGGGGTATGACTTAAGTGGTAGAATGCTTGCCTAAAAAGCAAGAGGTCCTTAGTTCAAACCCGAACAGGAAAATAAAAAGAGTAAATTGATCTCTCATATTGAATTTAGACTGATCATACAGTTCTCTATGACTAAATTTACTACATATAAGATAGATACAAAGTTTTCACTTAGGACAGGATAGAAGGAACCACAGATTGGCTAAATAAAGTAGCAGTATTTTATGAATCATTTTTAATCTTACCATGTCTTTTTCAGAATCAATGACAGCAAGAGTAGAACCATCTTCAGAACAAGAGTGTTGGGCCTCAGTCCAATTTTTTGTTGAGCTGGAAATAAAGTAGCATTTCCTTTGGTATAAAACCCACTCATCTGAGCATGAAGAAACATGGCTGTTATAATGACCTGGACAATTGTATTGGCCAACTGTGAAAAGGAAAATGATTTATTTTAGTAATAAGAAAAATCAAATCCCTTCTAAATATAGACTTACTCCAGGGATCCTATGCTTCTTGGTTCAAGGAGGAGAATTTTGAGAAAGGTAAGAAGAAAGAGAATGCTAACATACCTAATCGTTCCATTGTTCCTAATTCTCACTAGACGGGGTATGAGTGTAAGGGGGTGTCCTTTTGATCATAATACCCCAAACTGTCAGGAAAATAGAAAAATCCTGAAATGAGCCTTTGGACTAGAAAGAATAGTATACATTGTAAGTTCCAAGTAAGGTTTTGAGTCTAAGTTCAGAGGAATAGGAATTTAAAGAAGTAGTAGTGTAACACTACATTGGGAAATGAAGAGGGAGAAATTGCTGGGTGACTAATTGAAAGTACAGAAAAATCGATGACTTGGAATGTTTCCTAAATCTTGTGAAAGACACAGATGTGTCCTAGAATATACAACAATGTATTGTCACAATATCACTGCTAACTCTCTGGGGGTTTCTAGTTATCATCATAATAATCCAGAAATTGAATTTGGTGGTTTTCAGATAAAAGAAAAAGACTAGCTTCTTTTGATTAATCTGTGGCTTAGTTACTTTTTTTCCTGCCAACAGTCAATAGAAAGTCCACATTTTTTCTAGCTAAATGTCTGTTCATTTAGAATCCAAATTTACCCCTTTCCTTCTATATGTAAAACTCTGCTCAAATGTAATTTTCTTCTACAGTAATGTATAAATAATAGATACTTTTAATACTTCCAAAATGATTTCAGTAATCCTTCAAGGAACATGTAATTAATACAGTAGAAAGTTGGCCATGTATGGTATATAAAATGATCCTGAACTAATCAGAATATCTGATTAACTATACAAAGCTAGTTGACTTTGGTTGTGTATGAATGCTTGTAGCTAGGAGGCTTTGAGAGAATTCATGAAGTTTAGACCCACCTGATAAGGCAATGGGAATTATGATTAAAATGGTGATGAAGACCACATTCAATACAGCACATGGGATGGGAACTTGAAGAGACCCTTCATGATGTGTTCCAAAATGGGAGCTGGTTGCATTATCTGAAAGGGAGAGAGCTGATGATGAATTTAGGCCAATTGTAAGATAGGACATTTGAAATTCTTTTGAAGCATTTAAATTTGTTTTAAAAAGTAATACATTTTCCCACTTCCTACACAAAGTTTAAGTTAATTTTCTCCAAATTTTGAGTGAATTTGAAAAATATATTGTTGACTAGAAATGAAAGTCTAGACATAATATCGAGACATTAATAATTGTTCCCAACAGGGTACTTTGTACTTGAACATGTAGGTAATATGCAAAACAGATGTACTTCATAGCTATGGAAGTTTTAATTATATCATTATTGTTTCAGTCACAATACAACCTTCTTTAAACACCCAATACCCTAGAAGATATACACAAGGAACATCCTAGGCACAGTCTCTTAGCATTCTTGCAGTTACTGTTTGAAAGAAGTTATATGAATGGGATAAATAAGCAAATAATATGGTAAAATATTGAATTGTGTAAAGATATAAAACTAGAATGACAAAAATAAAAACTGTAGTACTTTTTGGTGAAGTTAGTACAGATAATGGAGCAATTGGAATTTTCATACATTATTGGGAAGAGAGTGAATTGGAAAACTACTTTGGAAACTATTTGTTACAAAAATTAAATATATACCTATTGTATAATATAACCTTTTATTCCTACCCATATCTCCAAGAGAAATGAAATATGATCTCAAAATGCCTTGTACAAGAATGTTCACAGAAGCTTTATTCTTGAGGCCAAATCCTAGAAATAATCCAAACATCTACCAGCAAGAGAATGGACAAACTAATTATGTCCTATCCACACAAGGAAACTCTTGACAATGTTTTTTAAAAACTGACACATACAATCGAACAGATGAATCTCAAGAAAAAAAACTGTTCAATGAAAAATAATTCAGCCACAAAAGATTACGTGATATACACATGATTATATATGTAAAGTTAATATATATTAAGGTTGTACAATATATTTGTTTTATATATATATAGATATATATATCTATATATATGGCATTTTAAAGTAGCTACCTAAGCTATAGTGACAGAAATAAGAACAGTGTTTACATTTATGTGAGTAGGAATGGTTATTTTACTGGAATGGGACACAGTGAAACTATCTAGGATGAAAAGAATATTCAGATATTCATAGGAATTGTTATTGTACAATTGAATTAACTCATTGAACCTATGATCTTTGCATTCACCATATGTAAATTCTGTACACCTTCAACTGAAGGTGAAATGTGAATGAGCAATAACATATTTGTATAATCAAGAGAAGTTAAAATAATAAAGGAAACAAAACAATATTATAGAACAAATATTGACTGGAAGTTTGTTTGTTTACCCTTTAGAGTAAAGACAAAAGAAAATCAAAATAATCTTTATCCAATAAGAAATATGCATATGGAAGGATTTTAGAATAGGTAGAAGTGTACCTTTTAATATATAAGCTAATAACTGGAAAAGGGGAGGAAATTTTGTGATTCAGATATTGAATTTTATTTCTGCAGGGTGAACACTCAGGATTTAAAAGATTTGGCCCCACAAGAATTCCCTCATATGTTCTCAAATTCCCTATTATGATAACTTGTTATGTTCTCAAAGCAGAAAGGTGAAATGACTACTTGAAACATTATAACTGACAATGAAAAATAATCTCCAGCCAGGTAAGGTAATGCAGGCCTGTGATTCCAACATACTGGAGGCAAGCAGAAGAATAATGAGTTCAAGGCCAGTCTAGGCTATGTTAGTGTCTTCTAGGCCAGCCTCAGACATGTAGTGAGACCTTATCTCAAAATAATAACAATAAAAAACAGTACTTTGTATTTCAATGCAGGTGATTTCTGTAAAAAAGAGGACATCTATATAGGATATATCTTAAAATCTGTGTATTTTTAAAAAACATTTCTCTAAAGCTATACTTGGCAAACAGATGTTGGTTTTCTTGCTAGTAATTCACCATGTAGCTAGTGTTAACACCAATTTTTGCTTCTTCTAAGGGGTTCTTTTATCTAACATAGCTCTGTGTTCAGATTTTGCAAGAGAAGCCTTCATTGCACCCCTGTCTGATCCTATTTCCCTCATCTTCCCAAAGTAATTCTTTTTTGCACTCATAGAATTATTATCAGAAGTAACCTTTGGTAGTCAGATAGCAAGTTCAGAGATCTGTGTAGTTTCATTTCTCACTATATGAAAGTCAATCATGCTGCTTGGAACTAATGCAGTTAATAACACTGACCACTTAAGGAAGTCTACCACTTGAAAACAACTCTGGAACCTCAGAGCTAGCTCAGTTCATTGATCCACCCAGTCAGTGGGTAAACTGTGGGGATAACTCTCAGATGACATTTTATTTCCATTAGTGGGCTATTGTTAACCACATTTTGATTTATTGCCTACGCAACAAAACATTCCACTAGCAGCATGCTTTTGGGTCTTGTCCATTAAGGGAGAAGTTGAAAATAGACCCACCTATGTATTTACTGGTTGAATCATCCACAAGTGATGACCATACTACTAAAGAAACTAGAGTGGAGGCATAGACTAAACATTCAGTGGCAAATTGAAATGATCTCAGGTCGATTTATGAATGTCTGAATTAGGTCCTTCTTTCAACTCACTTGCTTATATGTTGAATAATTTTATTACTATCAATCTTTTCTTTTTAGATGCTCAGGTAGGTCATAAAGTTGTAATTTATCTGCTTACCCAGGTTGTTTAAAAATTTACAAGTCTTGTACTTTTTATCCACACCTGATTTTATCTTCTTAAACAAATAATGGGTTTGTCAATGGTAACTGATGGTATTCTACAGTAAACCAATCTAAGAGACATATGCAGAGATACAGGCAGAAAATAATCTCTCCCCTAGAGATTGTTTTGGCTCTGTTGTTTCTAACATCCCTTTATTAATGAAGTGGTTGTTGCTTACAAGTAAACTCCAGTTTCCTAAGCGCTACTGATTTATGGTACCTCATTATTCAGGGGCAAAGAGGGATAAATGAAAAATATCAAGATCAAGAAATTCTTACAGAAATAAACTAGAAAAGCAATGGAAAATTCTGGTAATAAGAAATAGAATAGATATATGGATAGCACAATTAGAAAAATTTATTTGATCACATTTTGATGAAACTCAAAATACAGGATCTAGCTCTTATAGAATTTGAAGTTATTATGAAATAAAAGGTTGAAATAGAGGGAAAGAATCCCATAAAGGTGTATAAGATGGCATTTTTAAGAATTTTCTTTGCATTCTCCTAATAAATTACCATTGGATAGTATAAATATATAGGTGCTTTTGTAACTGTGTTTTCAAAGATTGGAAACCTACACACTTCTAGTAACTGGAGAATGCTATCACGAGAGCATAGGTGAGGTACATGGAAAACAGACAAAGACACAAGGAAAGTCAGTCAAGAACACAATTATTTATTCAGAAAACAAAATTTTCTCTAAAGAGATGCAACAATTCCTGGACTATGAACATGAACAGTGGATATGGAAAAATGATAGAGTCACTGGCTTAGGGAGGGGAGTATTCTATCTAAATCTAAAAATTGAGATGATCTAAATTAATTCAAAGGAAAAGATCTTTAAAGATCATCAGCAATTAACTCTCGTAGCTTCCTCTCATCTCAGATGTCCTATGTTCTCACAGATAAAAAGAGATTTTTACGTCTTCCTCATTTCTCTTTTATGCTCCCAGGAAAGACCTTACCAGGTTCTCTAAAAGGCAGTGCCCTGTTCTCTTTCCTAACTACCATTATACATCATGTTTAGGGATGTTACCAGGACATAAGAAATCAGATAGATGTGACTTACTTTTTTGTCCTCTCTCCAGATGTGAAGAGCTATTCTCTGTTATAGAACAATCTTCAGAATTCATCCTTCTTCTCTGGATTTCCTGGTGAGCTCAGATCAAGTCACACTGTACAGTGAGCTTTTGCTGGAGCTCTTGATCAGTTGCTGAGTTTCTGAGGCATCTCTGCATTTATATTCAGCTAGGGTGTCTCCACCCCCTTCCTCTTACCCTCTACTTGCTCGGCTATGCCAGTTCTCTTTAATTTATGCTCCAGTGGCCCAGACAATTTATCGTGTGTTGTGGTGGTGAGGTGTGGGTTTTCCCTTCTGTCTGAAATGTGCTTTCTCACAAATGTAGGTAGAGCAAGAAGAGATAAATGGGATTTTCCCAGAATCAAAGACATCCTCCCTTCGATTTTTAAAAAATGCAAATAAATTCAGGAGATGGCACAATCTAAGTAAGGTTAAAAGTTAGTGATCTCTAGGTTTAATATGGAAATAAACTGGAGGTGAATGTAACATTTTCCTGGAATTCTATTCATTCAATCATTCATTTATACATTTAGCAACTAGTTTTTATTGAATATCCACTCTATACCTGGCACTGGTGGGGCCAGAGGATTTATTGTTGAATAAGAATTTTAATATTTTATCCTTATGGATCTCACTCCAGCCTGGAATAGTTTTATTTAGAATGTTGTGAATTTTAGAAGTGTGTCATTCACTTCTTCTCTGGGGATATATTCTTTCAAGTATCATTTAATAAGTAGTTGCTTTAATGCAGGAAATAGAAAGCTTGTGGTCTGAGACATCCTTGCTATGTTCTAAAATTATTTGTCTTCAGTTATCTGTTTCATTATCTCCTGCTGATTTTCTTGTCATACTTTACTGACATTTAGATTGCTTTATTTTACCCCTTTATTCTATTTTTCCTGTCTCTTGTAGGTTATTCTGTTCAGGTCTTTGAAGATTCAGATATTTGGAGGATTATTATTATAAAAAATATATTGCTATAGTACTGATCTCATCTAGGTTAAGTTATTAAGTCAACACCAAAACAGTTGCAGAATGTCTCTGTATGGTGACTGAAATGGGGAAAATGAAAATATCACTCTAGTCAATAAACTCAGTGCCCTAAATTTTATCATTAATATCACATGTTTTAGAGTAAAGCCATTCTGTTTACAGTATGAAGGCTTAGGAAACTAGCATCAAGAGAAGTTAGTTGGGTTATCAGGTACATTTGTTTACTTAAGACACATAGAGGCACGTGCTGATCCTAAAGTCTATTTTCCTAGTACCTTTCCTATATAACAACTGGAATGATGTTTTATAGTAAGTCACATCATCTTGATGAGATATTGAACTCTTACCCCCTTAATCCCTGAAAACCTCCTATCAATTGTACATAAAACACAAAGACTTTCTTGTAGTTGAGAAACATTTATACATGGTATGGCCCCTGGCCACCTCCCCTAACATTTTCCCTATTAGTTACTACCCTCTCCAGCATAACCTCCTTGTTATTCCACAAAAATGTCCAGCATACTACCACTCCAGGGTCTCATGCTTCTCTTAGAAGCTCTTCTCCCATCTGCCTACATGGCTTGCTTTTCTTTTAATTCATTAATTAGTTAATTATCTCAAAGCATACTTAATTTAATATCAAGACTGTAATAAAAGGCCAAAATACAATGAAGGAACACATGCTTCCATTAGCACCAAGACAATGCTCTTTTGTATGACCTGTTGAATGGGATGAGGGTTTCATAAAGATCACTACTGAAAAAAATACCACAGTGAGTCTCAACACATTCAATATCCTTACATAATCTAGTAGGGGGGATGAATGATTACAGTGCTGCAAACAGTTTAAAACTGATGTTTGATAGCACATTTTCATATTTGTAAAGTCCTCGGTTAAGATTACCTACATTTTTCACAATCACTCAAATAATACACCATTGATTAAAACCACATTGATTTAAGGTTCCATTAAGTAATATAGAGCCCTAACTTAAATGGTTAAATTCATTACTTGTATTGAAATCTATTATTTGATTCTCTCATAACTATTAAAACTTATTCTTTCATAAATATCTTAAAGGCGGACTTCACCTCATTTGAATCTTGACCCAGAATTTAACGACAATCATTGAGTCCACAGTTTTATTGGCAATGAATCCACAGTGCCTCTAAGTCACTATAATCAAGGTTAAGAGCAATGCATGCTCCATTTGTACATTTTTCTGGAATTCTATATGCTCAATTCATGATTTAAAATCTCTAGGTTTTTCAATCTTTCAAATCGTTTAAAGACACAGTGTGCCACAGAATTCAGGCTTTTCTTTCTCCCTCTATTTTCTTCAACCAGAAACATTTCTCAAAGTGTCCACATGTTCTAGAAGGGGAACTTTTTGGAGGTAGCCTCGTTTTAGAATGGTCTGATGGCATTAGGCCTCTAAAACAAGAAAGGAAAAAGAAAAAAAAAAAAGGTGAGTGCCAGGTTTGTCTGATAAGTTCTACATTAACCAGTACGAGCTGGGCAGTAAAAGAACGTAGCCTTTTTGGCTCAAAAAATTTGAGTCTTGGTGTGAAAATAGCATCTGACTCCCCCATCATGACTTTCCCATAGTGGAGCTGTTAGGGACATCTGGACTGAGGAGTGTGATTTGTTTTCCTATCAGGTGTAAATTTCTAGGCACTCAGTACATTTGGGACTCTTCCTGTTTGTCTCTAGTCCACTTTACCTTTAATTTTTAGGAAAAATTACCATCGTTGATCTCAGTGGGGCCACACCAGGCTGCTGGATCTACTTGGGATACAGTATTTGAGTAGCACACTCTGGCATCTCTTGTTCCTTGGTCACTAGGCTCATTCCAAGGACGTTTTCTGTGCTGTTATTGCTTTAATGTTTCTTCAGACTGCCTTAAGCCAGTTATATTGTTTGAATTTAAGAATCATGTACTTGCTTGAAAATATGCTTCATATTGTTTCTATCTTAGAAGTAACTCATTTTGTGGAATAACTTTGAAGTCTATTTTGGTTCTGCTTCAAAAGTCTGTTTCAAAGCTGTTTGGGAACAAATTCTTTGCTGGTCATCTTGAATCCTTGGAGTCATCTCCAGATAAGGTAACATGCCAATGGCTGGGCCTCTGCCAGGAGAGTGATGGACAAGGGACATAGGTACAGGCCTGGCCTAGTGTGGCCTGGAGGCAACATGGAGTAGCAGCACTTCTGGGGTCTTCCCATACTTCCTCTGAGTCTGAACAAGCAACTCAGCCACCTGGACTCTGTGAGCTCAATGGAAAGGGAAGAGGTGAATTTTCCTTTTAATTTAATTCACTCACTGTTCAAGTCTTACCGGCCCAGTGAGTTCTTCACTTACCATTATATGTAAAATGGAACCTCATACCCTATGCTTTTACAAATCTTTAACCTTCTTTATCACACTACTAATAACTGATGTTGCACCACTGTTTATTACCTATTTTCCTTAATAGACCATAAGCTGCCTGAGGTCAAGAACTTTGTCTGATTTGCCCTTCTGTGTCTCTACATCATCTGTCATGGTAGCTAGAAAATAGCATGTTTTCAATGCATTGTATTGAATCAGTGAATGAATATGAATTTATGAAAAAACATGTATAGCTTTCTAAAAATTCCTAAGTATGACCTCAGGGATGTCTGTAGGACTGCATGAATTTGGACTTCCAATGGGCAGCCAAGGGTATGTGAATACTGCTGATGAAGGCCAAAGGATGACTTAAGTTTGATAATTGGAGGAATAGCAGGACCTATTCCTAGTGGTTAATTACTTTAGGTTAAAACAATTTATATGTGTTAGATGTTTATTTTTCTTTGTAGACCTGAAAGATCTGGGATAACATCCATACTATCACTAATTTCACGCATTCTGTTGGGAAGAATTCAAAAGATGATATTACTGTTATAAGTCTACATTTGCAACATTATTTGTCCTCATCCTACTCAGAGGGTGCAGAGATAGAGAAAGAAAATATCCTTAAATGCCCTGATAATGATTGCCATGTGTCTTTTCCATAGGCAAAGTAGTACTTTCAACAACCAATTAAGCTATTGGAAATCATAATCTAGTTTCACATTACTAATGTCACTCTTCCCCTCTGGTGATTTCCATATAAATGTGAAAATTAATTTCCCTAGCCAGATAGTAGCTAGTCTTTAAAATTTGAGTATTCCAGGACTGTTAGGTGGGTACCTATTACATATTTTAAAAAGTAGGATTTCCAGACAGAAAATCACCTTCCATCTTTTTCCTTCGTGCTTTTCAAGCTCAACTGCATTGACCTTCATTTTGTTCCTTGAGGAAGCTGCACTTGTCTTAATTTTGTAGGGTGTGTTCTTGCTTTTGTTCTTTCTGTTGTCAGATTTTGTTTTCATGGCTAAGTCAGCTCATTTATATTTAACTCTACCTCCTCAATTATCACCTCCTCAATAAGACCTTCCTTGCTCTTATATAAACTGCCTTCTTCTAACACCTAATATTTACCACTCTCTTTCTTCTTGTTTATAGAGTATGTTACCTGAATTTTGTAGGTCATCTATTTATATAAATTTTAAAAAACATTTTTACTGTCTGTCTCTGCTACTAGAAAATAAGGTGTGTGAGATTAGAGACATGGCTACCTTATTTAATGTTGGATCTCTAGTATAACTAATAGGGCCTAGAATATAGAAGGAACTCCACATGTGTTATTGAGTGATACATAAAAGAATATGAGTATTAACTGAAAAATCTGTCAACAGTGTAGCTTTGGAAAACCTACACAACTCTGCTGAGCTTCAGCCTTTTTGTCTGTAAACCAAAAATGTTACAACTAATTTATAAGGTATTTCTGAAGAAAAATGTGAATTAGAAAATGAATATTCTACCACTTTTTGGTACATAGTAGATACCATAAAGGAGTGAGGGTTTGATTAAAGAGAAAGTTCTTCATTTGATGTAAGGCACTATGAGATGATAACTGAGAAGTCACAGAATAATTGCTGATGCAATGCAATGTGTCTGTTGTCTGTCTAGGAACCAGACAGAGGAAGCTGCATTCTCCTACAGCCACCTCTAGCAGATTTCATTGCACTGAAACTCTTGCTTATGTGC